AATGTCCGTCGTCTTCTCTCTGTCTCGAGCTGTGTGTGGATACCTATAGGCATTTTTAGACGCCTACACCCGTGGTCAACCCTAAGGACATAGGATGCAGTTCATCCTATGAAGCTCAAGTGAATGCAACCCATTCACTTCGGTCTGGTAGACAGGTCGATAATCAAGTGAGAACTCCTCCAAGTCAAACTTTTAATCCAGTACAAATTCCTTCTCCTTCTCCTTCTAATGAATCTATTCAACAATCACCCTCCTCAGATGATCAAGAACCTGAACTGGAACCTGAGCCTGCTTTTGATAGGTTTAGACTAGTTGCGCCTTTTCCAGATAGACTCAGGCTTAGGAAACACTCCCCTCAAGAGGAGAAGATCCTAGAAACATTCAAGCAGGTTAAGGTCAATATTCCTCTCTTAGATATAATTGAACAAATTCCATCTTATGCTAAATTTTTAAAAGAATTATGCACTAAGAAGAGGAGAATAAATGTTCCAAAGAAAGTCTTTTTAGCCGCCAATATCAGTGAAATGCTGTCAAATCCCATACCTTTGAAACGTAAAGATCCAGGTTCCCCCATCATTTCATGTATCATTGGTAATACTCACATTGATAAGGCGCTTTTAGACTTAGGGGCCAGTGTCAATTTGCTTCCATATTCAGTCTATCAGCAATTGGGTCTAGGTGTACTGAACCCAACCAAATGCACCTTACAGTTGGCTGATAGATCTGTTAAGGTCCCTATGGGTGAGTTAGAGGATGTTCTGATTAAGGTTGGAGATTTTATTTTTCCAGTAGATTTTGTAGTCTTGGAAACACAGCCTATTTCTAATCCCAAAGGACAGACACCTGTCATCTTAGGATGATCTTTCTTAGCCACTTCTAATGCTCTCATCAACTGTAGAACTGGTCAAATAAAGTTGTCCTTTGGGAATTTGACTGCTGTTCTTAATATTTTTAATCCAGGGGACCAGCCAAATAATCAGCCTCTAGAAATAAATTATATTCAGGAAAGATCAAAAGAAGAAGAAGAAGAAGAAGAGTCTGATTTGAGTTTTGAGGAAATTTTTGATGAAGAGTTAGAGTTTTTAGAAGAAGCAGATCAGGTCCTTGAGAATAATGAAATCGTGTTAAACATTTGCTGCTTTGAATTAAATTTTAAAGAACTCTTCCTTGATGAACTTAGATTCTTAGAGAATAATCAACAACCAAATTTTCAGAACTCTACAGAAGAATTGGTTGTTAGAAAACAAATCTTCACAGTACAAGAGTCTGAGTTCATTAATGCATGACACCAATAATACCTACCTTACTTTGTTGCAAGAATTATTGAACACCCCGAAATGCTTGGAATTTCACATTATTGATTATATCATTCTGAATTTATTTAAAATCCGGGGAAGAATTTTCAACAATAAGGTAGGATTCAATGTAGAATACGAGCTCTTCGTGTTCAACATTTTATTTTATATTATTTGTTTTGTTTATTTTAGAATAATAAAAAGAATTTATTCTTCTCTCATTCGAGAGTTTCTTATTCAGTTGAAAAAAAAGAAAAAAAAGAAAAAAAAAAGAAAAATAAAATTTTGATTCTATCCTCCACAGACCAAATGTAATTGCAGATTTTTATCAGCTGATCAAATGTAAGTACTTCACTTCTTATCTGCTTTACTTTGTGCATCATAGAGTTTGCATTGAGGACAATGCAAAATTTAAGTGTGGGGGTGGGAATTAGTTAAAATTTCTCTTTGTTTTACATTTTTTGTTGCATTTTTGTCATTTTTTTCCCTTTCTATAAAAAAAAATTTATAAAAATATCATCACTTGCCAAATTGATAGATTTATGAATAACTGATTTATTTGATAAATTTTAAAATTTCTAATCTGTTATTTACTCAAGTTCACTTTTTATGATAACTCTAAATAAAGTTCTTAAGAAATGATTTTCAAAGTAGTATACTTTACTTAAGCCTTAACGTAGATTTTTATTTAAAATAATGGAATACATGCTTAGCTTAGAGTTAAAAATAAATTTTCAAAGTGGCTTGACTTACATATTTTTCAAAGTATGTACACATATACATTAAATAAAAAATTTGTAAAAAGAAGAGTGCGAAAAATGGGCACCAAAAGAAAAAAAAAACTCTTAAATTCAAGGTGATTCTATCTTATAAAGTCTAAGCTGATCGAGTAATTAAACCCAAGGAGTATTTCTATACTTAATGACCTAAGCCCAATTGGGTTGGGATCCATTGGCCCAAAACTCGT